GACACACACCACTGGAAAATGCCGTCCCCACAGTTTTGCTGCGTAGCTCCTCTTTTCGCCGTTCTCCATTCACGGGCGAATGAGACATTCCCACGCATGGCACCGCTAGGAAACATGAGGGAACCTTCCCGTTGGAAAAGGCATACCTAACCTACCGAACGTCTGCAGTCTTCAGTCGGTTCAGCCCTCCTGAGTGGATGGAAGCCCACGGATTCAGCTCGTCTGAGCGTTGGACTTCGGGACCGGCCTTGGTGCCGACATACCTGCGGTGTGGGCTGCACGAGGCTGCAGCGGGCCCGGCTGCTTTCCCGGCGGCAAAGCCTGATGTCACCAGCTTCCACGATCTCTCGCGCTGTGAGCTGACGCCGCGGGCTCGGCGGTCGCCTCACAGGCCGCGCTTCGGTACCGACTGCCGCCGCCGCCGCCGCCGCCGCCGCTGCCGCCGGCCGGCGGGCGGTCCGTGAGTGACGTCACCGGTGACGTAGCGCCGGGGCACGCGGCGGCCTGGCGCAGGAATGCGGCCGGGCGCGCCAGCCGCCGCCGACGCCGGCCGCGCCGCGCTATAATAGAACGGCCGGCCACGGCGCCGGCCTGCACGGCAGGCGGCAGCGGCGGAGGCGGCCTGCCTTCAGCCCTGCGGCGGCGTCTCTGCGACGCTGCGACGCGGCTCAAACTTCACGGGAGACGGAGAGTGTGTCCGGCGCCGCCAGGTGCAGGCAGCCCCAGCGAGGGGATGAGCCGCCGCGCGAGGCGACAGTCGTCGGGCGGGCCTGCGGACGCGGGCGCACACCCGAGCGGGGAGATCGCTCCATCTGCTGCTCGCCCATGTCGTGTGCGGGCGAGCGGCCGGCTTCGATCCGCACGCGCTCCAGCCGCGATCCACCCCTCGCCGCACCGGCAGCGCGAGGCTGCGCGCGTTCGCTCACAATACCCCATCATTTACCCGTGGTAGCCCATGATAACATGGGTGACCCCATGTCGTCGGCCTGCAATCGCTAACAAGGCAAACACGTCAGAGACTTGTGCGCGTGACCGTGCCCACGTTGTTGATCGTGAGCTTTGCGTTGGTGTAAGCGCCGCTCGCCAGTTTCAACGTGTCCCGGTCCCGAAGCAGCCCCTCGCCCCCTCGATGCGTGGGTGCGAAGGTGGAGCAGCTGCGCGGTAGCCACCTGCACTGCGTCCTATCACCAGCGCCGGCGGCTCTGTCCGGCCGCCAGCGCCGAGTGGTCGTCCGCCGATAGCCCCACCTGTGCTTCAGCGCGCGCCTCGGTGCGCAAGACCCCTCCCCCCCCCCCCGCCTACGCCGCCACTGTGCGCCGCCCCGGGCCAATGGGGGTGGCGAGGGGGCGGGGGCACTTCCGATTCCGTCCGCGGGCGGGATGACGTCACTGGGACGTGGGATGACGCCACCGATTGGACGTGAGACGCGGCGCAGCTGCGGCCGGCGGCTCCGCGCCGGCGTCCGTTGCGACGCGTCGGACGCAGCTGCCCGACGGCGAAAGCCGCGGACAGTCTCCCCCACGTCGCGGGAGGAGTTGCCCAACTAAACGATGGTTACAGCTCCGCGCAGCATGATGGAGCGCTCGCCCGTCGAGTGTGCGGCGAATTGCCGCTGCAGGTATGTGGCGCTGGCACGTCGGCAGACTCTGCGTCCCGAATGGCCCCGACTGAGCGCGGCGGGCCCAGGCGCTGCCGGGAAGCCGTGGGGTGTCGGTCACAGGGTGGTGGTGTCAGGCAGCTGGCGCGTGCTAACGGGTGCGTCATCCCAGCTGACTGCCACGGCAATCGGAGCGGCCGGTGTCCGGGGCTCAGGCGCCCGACACGCTGACGTCACGGGCCGTTCGCTCGGGCTGGCTGACTCAGCCGCTGGTGCCGAACGCCGAGCTCCGGCAGCCTTGGTGGCGAGCGTTCCGACCGGCGGCCACTGTGTACTGTAACTGCATGTCGTAAGCATGCATGCATGCAGTCAACAGTGCGAAACGTGGCGTGTTTACCTCTCTAGCAACAGACGCGCACGGATTGGTCGCCGCGTGTTGCGCGCCGCTGGGTTGTACGGAACAACAGGATGCTCGATATTCTGCTGAGAAAACATCTCGGACGGTCAAGACCGACGCTTGCTGCCGTGTGCGCGGATGCCGAAAATGGACGCGGTCTGCAGGGCGCCGCTCTGGCAGCGTTGCCTGTCGCCAGGCGGTCGCTGCGCGCCTGGAATGCACAATCGTTTAGGCCTGGACACGTTCTGTCTGGCGCGTGTGCTGCCACCTGTCGGCGCGTGAGGAAGATCGACCTCGCGTACCCCGTCACCGCCCGGGCCGGCCGGGCGGCAATGCGAGGCAGCCGCGCGCCGCGCCTGCCAACGCCGCACTTCGAGCCGAGCTGGAGCCAGCAGTCCTGTCGCCTCGCTACGCCAGCCCAGATGGAGGACACGTCCGAGGGAACGTATGGAATGGAAGTCACAGGGGCTGTGATCGTGCTGGGGCAGATCCGCCGGACATTGCAGAGAGGACAGCGGACAGCGCGCTGCTTGAAGTGCAAGCATCCACGCAACGCTTACAGGACCCGTGGAAATAAACACGCACAAAGGCTACGATGTCCATCTGCTGGCTCACACGTACGGAAGATCTCATCCGCGGGAAGGTCTTCCTGTTTCTGCTGTTGTTCCGTAAAAACGTCGGCATCCATCTGTTGCAGGGCTCCAACGCCTGAACGTATTCATCTTCCCACCCCGTCGTGCCCTGCACCCTGCAGGCCTCCCCCCCCCCCCCTCCGGTGGTGACCACAGTTGGCCGCGGATCGGCCACAGGGGCTCGCCCGGCCACCCGAGCCCCGTCCGAACGGCAGTGAGTCATGATGCCGAGAAGGACACGGCGATCCTGTTACGACAGACTTACGCCCAGTTCAACTCTGATCAGTCTATCGCGGCGTCCGCTTGGCTGGAATGTCCCAGACTGGAACGAATGGATGGATGCCCGGCCCCGAAGTGCTAGGCGGGCTTTGAGCCATCGTCGGGACTGGTCGGAACGTTCTCTCATCGTTCTCAAGGTCGAGACGTCCTCTACAAATAGCCTGAATGAAGCACGGGACGTTCTTCATGGCTAACCTCCGGTAGATATTCGAAGTCAGCGCGGGTGACAGCAGGAAATTGCCGGAGCGCCGGCACCAGTAGAAGCGGTCCGAGCATCTCCCGTATCTTGCCTTCGCTGGAAATCCTTTGACTGGTTAACCAATAACGCTGCACTTGCCAACGTTTCTGCGGTATTTGTATATGGCGTGTCCCCGTGGCATTAAGCTTTTGGCCCTCGGTGCCAATCGCAGCGATCATTCGTGACTTGTAGCGTAATGGGCCCGTTTTAAATCGCGCGGTAATGATCACTTGACGCAAAAATGCAAGGCGCACAGGCCGAAAGACACCTGTTCGGCCTTCACATCCTCCATGGACAGGTGAATAGGAGTGATCAATAGGGCAAATGAATACCCCGTGCACTAATTTATACCCCAGGCAGGCAGCATCCCGAAAGTTTATTTCCTGCTTTGGTGTGGTGTAAGGAAAGATCATTCGGAAACAGACAATGCTGCAGGTGTCCAAGCAATATGTTATACACCAACAAGTAGCAATGCTAATCCATAATATGCAACAAAGCAGCCATACGATCAGTTCGCAGTCAATCCTGGAGAGGGAGGAAGGGGATAGTCGGACCAGGCATTGGCTGCCGACGGCGGGTGGGCGCTGGGCTTAGATAAGACATATATGACAGAAGAGCCTTTATTCTGTGGCTTGGTTTTTTACAGAAAAAACTCCAGTTTTATATATTTTGTCCCATCGTTCTTGACAAAAAGTATTTGGGATTCTGAATTTGTTTCCGCCTAAAATGCTGCGAACAAAAGTGGGGCGAGAAATCTCGGCGCATGAAAATTCAGCCGCACTACGGGCCAGCGAATATCATGACAAATTCTGATATGTCTATGTCGAGGTCATATTTTGGCATCGACCCTGCGAACGTAGACCCCTCCTCAATGATCCAAAATGCCTACCCGCTCATGGAATTTCGCGACCCTAGCGGGAAACAATGTTGAAGTGGGCAAATCATCGTAGGAAGCTGGAAAGCCTTAGTTTTCGAATGACATAAATAAGTCGAAAAGGCAAGATTGTGCACCAGCGAGGAACAGTTGTAGATGTGTACCTAGCATAGCAGCAATGGCGTTTGATCATTTCCAAAACATGCTATGTGTACTAAGACCGGACAATAACCTCCGTCTCTATCCCCTCCCCTCTCCCCCCCCCCCTCCCCTCTCTCCCGACCGCCAGGCTTGCTTCCCGGAAAAGGTTTCTGAAACATACCTTGAGTCTGCTCCCCGCCCCCCACACTTTTTGAAACATTCCCACGCATTTGCCTGACATACCCTCAGGTCTTCATTTTTCCCCGGATTTGGCCACTTAAACTTGCATCACCGGTGTCAGAATTAAGCTTACAAAAATTTGGGCAGTTACGAAACTGTTTTGATATTGAGGAATGGCTTGCCATTTGAAGCTAGCATGATACTGACAACGAAAATGCATGATAATGATATTGACAATGTGTTTAAATGCCACGTGTACCAGCAGTTCAGACCTTGCTGCATTTCATTCGCGCAGCGTTCCCTTTTTTGTTCATATGTATTGGGGGGGGGGGGGGGCTCAGGAGAGTATTGGGCGCGCTCAAGTCAGGAGTGGAGGGAGGGGGGCTCAGCTCCCTGAAAGTATACTTAGCAACGCTCCTGATCAAGAGGCCAGCAGGCCTAACAAAGCGTGACTCACAGTCCTCCGCTGGCGCCCCGCCTCTGTCGACAACGGCCGGTGAGGTGGCTGGCGAAGCCCGAGGCCAGACGCGGCCCCCATATGACGCGGACAGCCGGGCTAAAAGTGGAACAAGGCTCCGGCGCAGGCGGCAGCAATTAACAGGTGCCGTTCTCCGAAGTCAGTGGCCATGTGCGCGGCGGCCATTCGCCATGTCGAAGGCGGTGCTGACATGTCGGAGACGGTGCCGACAGGGCGGCAGTCAGCGGTCGCTCGGTTGGGTTCGACGATGAGCGGTGGTGTCGGTGATGAACAGTGTGATGGAGTGGGGTGATGGTCATCATGCGGGTCCGTGAGTGCTTGCTCGTTGACACCAGTCAGTACACGCTTACATAATTTGACTTGCCTATGCGTATTCCACGTGGGTGCACAAATACATTAAGATATAAATGACTGAAGAACAGTTTTCATGATGATGAATAACTCCATGCCTCCAATCAGATAGTGTAGCTGGGTCGAGCAACGAGCAGGCCAGTTGCAAGCACATTTCATGTGGCTATGAAGCTGCCACCGCCTGGCGGCATTATTCACGATTACGTAAGTGGACCCACGACGGTGAGTCATATCATGGCAGCCAAAACCACCCCCACTCCTTGTGAAAATGTCAGTGACTAAAATGATTCCAGACTAGCCAGATGTTACCGAAGGTTAATGTAAGCTTCATATGACCATTGTAGTCGGTGCGCCCCCAAGCCCAAATCATCATCAATTAAGGCCAGTGTAACGCTGTCTGGAACTCCCACGTCGACCATCGGATATTGTAGCTGTTGTTGCAGGATATGTACATGACGTGTGAGCACATTTGGACGTAGTCCTGCTTAGGATCTGCGAGTAAATATATATATATATATATATATATATATATATATATATATATACCTAGCTTGTTTCACTGATTTCAGAGACATGGAAGGCATTGAACGAGTTATTCACCACTTATTCACATTCATTCATCAGATAAAGGCATACTCAACATAACCCGCCTACAAGCGTGCGGTTTCCTTCTCATTTGGGGGGTCGTGCCCCCTGGCCAGAGATGTAGTGTCCTATTTGTTATTATTTGCATCCATTATATCTCATTAATCATAATTTGTAGGGTTCAACAATACAAAAAACAGCAATTTTGAGAGACAATACTTCTGCTACAACACTGAAAAAGCGCGCTAAACCAGGGAGAAGGCTGCTTGAAGTGCATTTCAGAGGCGGACTAATATTCCTACGCATTTTGCCAATCTGCACCCCTGTAGCCCTACAATTACCGGTAACATGCTTCTACAAGTAAGCGAAACAATTTTACTTTTGATTTTGAGGACTCATCGTACAATCAGCTGGAAGCATTGTGATCGCTATCTTCGCAAAATCATTGCCGGCGCACAACCTGCATTTCCTCACATGATCCCAATTAGAGTGGGAAACCCATGCAATATTGGTATCACAGATATAAACGACATTTTTGAACACCTCTAGCACCTTCAATTAGCTCTATTATGCAATACGATGACGATTAAAAGCGTTTTACCTCACGCCTGTCCACCGGTCAGGACGTTACGTCTGAGGCGCGATGGTCAGTGTGAGAGGCCTACACCAGCGATGCCCGGCATCTTACCTCAAAGCCGCTGTTCCTCCCAACAGAAGAAAGCCTGGGACAAATCCCTGACATGTGTCTCCCTAACGTCCTCTGTCGACCTCTTAAGCTACAGATCGGGTTTTCGCAAACAATAAGCCTCCTAGATCGGCAGGGGCTTTTGACGCTGTAAGCAGGGACCCCCTCCATGGTACGTAGTTTGAAAAGTCGCCCAGAGCCTTAAACGAATTGACAATTGGCTGCGTTTTTCAGGTACAGTCAGCTTCTCACGACCTGAACACAACCAACAGCGGGCTGCAGCCTTGCATGAAACCTAACTCATTACCCGGTGGCGCGCATCCCAGCCCATTTGCCCCAAATCGCACTGACGCTTTAAAACGCTGCGCAGGAAGCTGATCACGTTCGCCGCAAGATGCTCTGGCCAACCACATACTCTTACGGCTAGTAATAGGCCTAGTTATTTAATATTTTGCACTGTTTAGTATGTGCAGTGAATCTTGGTTGCAAAATCTGTGAAAAGCACTGATTTGAGGGGCAATGGAAAACACTGTGTCACCGCTGATCCGTGACGTCACCACTGATATGGTATAGTTTGTAGGATATTTCTGCCACCTGCTAATACCTACCCTAATTAAAGCTACTGTGTTTGGCAGCATCCTGTGGCTCAACTTGCTCATACACCGAAACGTCAACGTTTCGACATGTGCTCTACACAAGCTCATATTGCAAGCGTTAGCTGGTATAGACCAATACTAAGCTCTGAGTTTCGTTTAACTGGGGTGGTCTGTTATAATATGAGCTGGTAGACTGTAATTTGTTTCCATTTTCGCAATCTTGTCACCAATCGGCTCGCAAAATTATCCGTTTTTTTGTCAACGACCATATCGAGTAAATCAGAAGCTTTTTCAACCCCTGCGTGTCTTATCCTGATATGCTTCAAACATGCACCATCTTTGCGCTGTTCTAGCTGTCATCATTCTAGCTGGCATGTCATCGAACACGTTTAATGTTTACTACGCTGTACAAGTCCAAAGAGCTTCCACCAAGCATGCCGCCCGTCTGCGTGAACTGCTGCATTTCATTCTACAAACTATAAGCAGCGCGCATGGTTAAATGTTGGCAGAAAGGTTATCCTTCCAAGCCATCAAAACTATGAAGCTACAGAAAACCAACACAGACCAGGCAAGGTGCATCTGGTGTATGCCTACAGCTATACCTAACTATCGGTATGCATCCATTTGTACAGTGACATGGTTTGCCCAGTCACTATATGTTGCTTCAGTTTGTGTCCATTTTGTTAATCAAGTCAAACTATCGATGCTTGTATTTGCATGATGCCTCAGTAACTAACACCCTGCGTTAAAACTCGACGCTGATGTGAGTTAAACTCAGGCGCCAACATACGCCAACGGTGCGTAACACGCGCGAGATCGTCCAGAACTAACGCCAGCGCGGCCCGAGCCAACCAAACACTGTTTCTGCTCATAGCACAAACTTAACTTAGATAGGCCGTCTGGTGGACAACTAAAATCAGGGTATATTTCGCACAACAACAACGTGCAACACATCCGCACATTACATACGTACGCAGCTGGAAGCATCTCTTCAGTGACACACATCCACACGCACGCCGTGTCTCGCATGACGCGGCGTGCGTGCGCACACTCACATCGGCGCACACACACCACATCCGCCGCGTCACACTCACATCACATCGCCGCGTCACACTCACCCGCGTGCCCGGTCCCGCCATGATGGCCTCCGCTTCGCTGTCCGCCTCCCGCGAGTCGCAGCTGCGCCGGTTCCAGGCGGCTCCAGGCGAGTGGGCGCGAGTGACGCACCACCAGCGCCGGCGGCAGCGGACGTGGGGCGCGCTCCGGACGCGCTGCCTCCGACTCGGACGGCAGGCGCGGCCGCGGCGCGCTGGCACCGGACGCCGGCCCCGTGCCAGGTCGGAAATACCCCGGCGGCGCCGGGACCGGCTGGTTCGCCGCCGGCGCCGGGCCGCCGACAGGTGTCCCGTGGCCACCCGGCCGCGACAGCCGAGATTGCCCTCGGCTGGGTCGGATAACGCGCGTCGGCGGCGTGTCGGTGGGGACACGGGCGGGCGGGGTGCGTGGGTGCGGTCGGTGGCGGCGTGGATGCAGTCGGTGGGCGTGTGGGTGCAGTCCCTGGCTGGGTTGCTCGTGCGGTGTGAGTCTGTCATGTGCAAGTGGACGAATTATCGTTGGTGACAGCCCTGAACGTTTGAGAGCTGCGTTTTAAGACGACTCGCACTACGGTGTACACACCAAAATGTACGGAGCCGTCATCCCATTCTGCCAGTGACAGATCCCACAAGATTTGCGTTACCTATGTACGACGTTACTTTGGCTGCCATGACGCTATCTGCGACGGGCTATGCCTCACATTACACCTTAAGGACGGGCGTGTAAACTCACACGGCATGGGGAGAGAAGGAACACTTCAAAGAGGGCAGCATGACTAGTGCCTGGGACCTTATTTGATTTACCCGACGGGGAGACATGGGCAAAACCAGCTCTCAAGTTATCACTCCATGCATGATTGCCCACCATACATTTACGCATAATCAGAACGTTCCGAATTACGTCAGAACCAACCTTCCTGAGACATGCCAAGACGAAGCAGTTGCATTTTTCCGTCTCAGCTCCTGATGCGATTGTCTTTTACGTAGCACATCACCATTTGTTTCGATATATCTGCCCTCGCCAAACAAATTTCTGCATGTGGATAAAACATTCATCATCTTGTCCCTAATTAGTTTCGATGAAAAACGACGGCTTATTGACAAGAAACACTGCCAATTTCATTGTATATACTACGGATCTCCGGATCGAGCGCAGCGTAGGTATGTGTTGATCGTGAATGCCTGGACGCTAAACCCAATAAGTGTGTGAAGTGGATGCCATTGGTGTCAACCAACCGCTCAGCATAATAATGAAGGTCTAGTTATCCGCCTTATGAATTGTGTGGCGATCAATACGTAACGCAACACAACTAGTTGTGAATGAGGTGAAAGAAACCGTCAGATGTCTCATCACTTTCTTTTTCTCGAAGCTATGCACAGAAATAACAGCACTGTGTTCGCCACTCAGTGAACAACCAAGACACGAAATAGGAACATGTCTCCACCGTAGTGCACCGGCAGCGGAGGCCTGCGGGTATCACGTATGCCGTTATGCCTGTCACCACTAGGCCTTATGTCTCAGTGGCCAGCTGAGGCTACAGGCCGGGAGGCGCTCACTGGACGACACGCAGCGCACTGGAAGGGACGGCCCCGTCCAGCTGGATGTTCGACTCGTGAGCGATGTGGGCTGTTGACGACAGCGATAAGTGCGCGGCGGAAGGCGACGGACCTCAGGAGACGCAATAAGTGGTCTTATCTTGGGTGTTTCTGTGAGAAGGGCGAAAACCTCGCTTTTGCCTTCGGATGCCACCTGCACTGACATCAAGCATTTTCCATATCCGCGGCGGAAAATTGTGTTGGACAATGGTAGTGATGCTGCTGGCAGCAGGCTCGTATTTGGATATTGATCCACACCACGCCACCTCTATGTCTTCAGCCGAGCTGATTTATGCGAAAATGTGATAGGTTTAAACAACGTAATTTGGCTTCCAAAACCTATTCGGTGCGTTCGGAAAATGGCTCAAAGCTTGGCAAATTTCATTACAAAAAGAAGGCCGCGTCACATGCGGCCCAGGGCATCGGTTCCGACCTTATCTCGCGTCCACGGGGTGGGTCGCGACGTCGTCAGAGACCGACGAAGCTGGCCATCTGCTGGGGAGCTCCGACGCACTGCCGGCTGTGAGCCTGTGCAGGTGTTAGGGTCGTCTGTGCTAGTGGCGACATTACTTATGCACTTGATGTTCGACGTATGCTTCAATTTCCCTCATTGCGACCGTCTTGGGAGGTGATGCACTCAGCGTCTTT